GTGGATTCGTTTATTAAGATGACAGCCTATGTGGTGTACACGAAACTGAACTATGTGCAGATCATGACCGTGGCCGAAGTGCTGGATCCGCACAGCGGCAGCCAGGTGACCACCAATACCTTCTACTACACCTTTTCGGCACCGCATACGGTGACCGAGGTGCTGCCACGCTCCTATCACGAGACCATGTGGTATCTTCAGGGACGTCGCAAGTTCGAATATAGCATGGGTCTCAAGAAGACATAAATTGAGGATTGTAAACGAATAATGATAATTAAATACTACGCGAGGCTATGATAAGGAGGCGCTTCGCTGGCAATAATACTACAGACACAGGGAAGACTCCCAAAAGTTGACCGTACTCAAATGCCGTACCTTGTTTTTTCTCAAGCCAAACTAATATTATGTTATGTCATAGCTTAAATCTTAAGTTTCCTTAACAAACTGTGCTTAATTTAAAAGTGGTCACTCGCAAAGTTAGAAAACGAATTTTAGATAAGGTATTAAAATATGTCAACTCCGATTTTTAGACAATCCTTATTTCTGAGTAAACAGCTTAACTCTTAAAGCTTTAACTAAACAGTTGTAGTATAAGCAAAAACCAAATACTCAGCGGTCAGCATAGGCAGGTTTCACTGTATATGTATGTACTTATAAAACTACGCTGTATTTTTTGTTGTTGCTGTAATAAAACCTATTTGTTGCAATGCTCCTGTTGGAGACTGATAAACAGACGACTTGGTGACTGCCTGAGATATGTCTGCTATATAAGATCCGAGAGTAGTTGGTATCACCCCCCCCCCCCCCCCCCCCCCCCCCGCTATCTTGCTGCGACGTCTTAAAGAGAAATGTTTTGTCTAGTGCTCTATGCAAATATTCTCATCAATTTTATTTTTTTTTTAAATCTTTCATTTTTATTTTGCTTTTTATCTTGGCACAAATTTTTAGACAAACTTTTAAAATGCAACGTGTGAGAGGACTGCGACCTATGTTCCCGGGCACAATTTGGCAATATTTGTCCAGGTGAGGCATAGCTAGCTGTTGGAATCTCTGAAAATAAGATACTTTGCAGTGGTCAAACACGGCTCCGCCTGCCTTATGCTGTGCGGCACTATGAGATGGGTGAATTTTTGAAGGAGCAATCGGACCACTATTCGGGCACCATGGCGGAAAGTAAGCTTCAATACCAACAATACCAACGCTGTGCCTGACTTTAGACTGGATACAATTGCAGTTGTGGAAAAGATACGTAAGCGAGTGGGCGCGGAAATAGGCTATCATATCGTGCCCAAGTCACGAAGGCATCTGCTGAAGCATCAGCCCAATCCGGAGCAGCTGCCGCCGCGAAGCATGCAGGATTCCTATACGACGGTCACCTTACCGCTAAGCGCGGATGAGATCATACGAGAGCGTTACATCAATCACCTGGGCAGAATGCGTATTGGTCGCCTAATGGAGGACATGGACATGTTTGCGGGTGAGCAGAGCACCAAAAGCAGCCCGTTTATGTTATTGTTCAATTCGCTTGCCAGTTTGGCTGTGCCATCGGCACGTTAATGTGCCGGAGCTGCCCGAGGATGTGTGCTTGCCGTACACTTTTGTCACACTGCTGGTGGATCGCATCGAGTTCACAAACATTGTTGATTTGCAGGTCAACAAGGATCTTGAGCTGAGCGGTTTTGTATCCTGGGCGGGTCGCACCTCCATGGAGATAACAATGTATGTGCGCCAGCTGCTGGATGGGGAGTATCTGAACGTGACCAAGGCGTTGTTTCTGATGGTCGCCCGCAATGCAACCAACACGGGCCCTGCACCGGTAAATAAGATAAAGCCCGCCAACAAAATGGAGCAGCAATGCTGGGAGGAGGCGGACAAGCGGCAGGAGATTCGCAAAACCTCCAAGACCGAAAGTGTATTCATTTCGCCACCACTGGAGCACGAGCAGGCCATTATGTATGGCCTGCTCAAGCTGACCACACCGCCGGATAGCTTCGATTTAAACAAACGCATATTGCCGCCCAAATGCCGCTGGATGGCGGACAGTCAGCGTACCACAATAATGAATCCCTTTCCAGAGAATCGCAATACACACAACACCATCTTCGGTGGGTATGTGATGCGTCAGGCCGTCGAGCTGAGCTTCATAATGGCCAGCATCTATATCAGAGGTCGGCCCATCTTGAAGTGCATATCGGACATCAGTTTCATGCAGCCGGTCCAGGTAACCGCGTTCCTGGAAATGACCGCCCATGTTGTGTACACCGCGCAGAACTACATCCAATTGATGACAGTTGCTCAAAACTGGGATGCCAAAAGCGGTGAGAACACAACGACCAACGTATTCTATCTCACCTACCAGACGGATTCTATTGTGGATGAAGTGTTGCCGGGCTCGTATCGCGAGATGCTCTGGTATATACATGGGCGGCGCAAATTCATGACCGCACTCAACTTGCAGTTGGATGTGCCCGAGCCCGCTAATGAAGACTGTCAGGTGGGGAAGGTAACTGCAAAATAATTAACACTCGCTTAGTTTTTCGTTTTCCTCGTACCTCGACACATTTAGTTACGATTTTGTAATAGTTTATTTTCTTTTTACAAAATTTTTTGTAATCAAAGTATTTAAAAATCCTTAAATTGAAGTTTTGTCTGGGCCGCACGCTTAGAAGCGCAGACGGTGTGGGTATTGGGAAGAGTGCAGAGCGAACATGTTTTGCAAGTACTTCTTGAAGAATTTACCCTCTGGGTGGGCCTTGATCACCTTCAGCAGGGCGCTGTCGATCTCCTTCTGGTCCTTCTTGCGCTGCTCGTTGGGCACAAAGCGTTCCTTCTTGGCCGCGAAGATGTCGGCTTCGCCGGACTTCTTCTGCTTCTTAGCCTTCAGGCGACGGAAATAGGCGTCGTTCAGATGCTCGGGTACCTTGAATGCGCCCAAATCCACCCGTGTCGAGGTGCCAATAACATAACGCTGCGAAACGCGACGCAGTGGGCACGAGTTCAGTGCAAACGGACCGGTGACCAGCAGCAGGCCAGAGGTCAGCGTCTTCAGCAGAACAACGCGCTTACCCTGATGACGGCCAGCCAACAGGATGAGCACGGTGCCGGGCTGCAGATTGCGGCGCGTGTTGCGCTTGTGCTCACTGAAATTAGCCTTGCCTGGGCGCTTCTTCACGAAAGTCTTGGTTGGATAGTTGGCCTTAGGCTTGCGCAGATAAACGGTACGCTCACCTCCGTTCTTGGGGCCTCCGATCTTCTTGACCTTCTTGATGGGCACCTTCTCCTTCTGCACGACAGGGTGCTTCTTGTCTTTCAGGCGGTACAGCGCGCGGCGCTTGTACATCTGTAAGCCAGCAAGTGAATATATTAAACACAAGTACCACACACTTTATCGATTGCGGGACGAGGCGAAGGAAGCGCGTCACATTTGATGCCAACATTTGTTAGCATATTTTCTGAATGTGTTTTTGTCTGTTTTTACCTGGGCTTTGGAGTATCGCAGAATACCACCCTTGAGGTATGAGTTCAGGGGGTGCTTCTTGCCCTTTTTGGCCGATTTGGCGACCTTTTTAGCTTTTTCGACGGGTGCCATTGTGGAGAACACGTGTACACAGCACAAAAATTATTTAGAAAAGGAAGGTTATGTGTCACGGCATTGCCAGCACCAAGCAAAAACACTGCATGCGTGCTATCGATAGACTTTAATGCAACTCTTTGCTAACACACTTTTCAACACTGCCCTTTAGAGCACTGGTTGATTATCGATAATAAATCTAACATCGATTCCTACTATTTCCATTTTGTTATTGTTGCAGAGTAATTGAATTTGAAACATTTATTTACGAGTTAATAATACTTTTTTTCCATTTATTTGTTCTCATGTGTATACAATGAATTAAATCACGAGTTTTTGTTGTTCCTTTACAGCTCCATCCATACACTATACACAATCCTCAATTGTTTTAATTGTTCTTTTTCCTGTCATGAATCGTTTAAAACTTAAATACAACTCGACATACAAATAAATTAAATAAATGAATGATAGATAATTTACAAGATGAGTTGATTTCTTTTTTTAGTTTTTAGTTTAAATTTCAAATTAAAACTAAAAACCTCTCGCACTTAAACAAGGCTCAGAGCTGAGAAATGTACATTTTGTCTTCTTCTTATTTTTCTGTTTGCAGTGCATCAAACATACAAAATAACATTAAAGTTAAAATCTCATGTTAAGACTATAAATAAAATGTATGCGCGCAAGTGTCGTACATGATTTGTTCTTATTTGTACTAATAAATTAATTAATTGTACAATACTAATATAGATTTGTTTTGCATGCACTTTGTTCATTAAAATGATTCGTTTTTTGTTTATAGTTTTCCTTGCAAATATTTAACTAACTCCGCACTTAATATGTGTAAAATTTGCTAGTTTTAAAATATGTTTACAATTAATGTCAGAATAACCGACTGGCGGCATATTTGTTCGGCATTTTGTAGAAAGTCTTAAGTCTATACTTCCTTATGTTGTTGTTGTTGTTGTTTTTTTTTTGTTACTTTGTCTTATTTGTCACTTGCCATTATAAAAAGTTAGACTAAGATTTTAAAAGAAACAATTTGTTTCTGACTCGCTTAAATACTTAAAATAGTTTAAAAAACACGAGTATTGCCTTGAAATGTTTATAGACAAAGATTTAAAATTAATAAATAAATAGAATGAAGCTATTGCACATTCAGAAAATGTTATTTTTTTTTTTTCAAACTTTACAGAAAATAATGTTTTATTTACATTTGTAGAGTGTGCAGAGTGCGACCTGTTTAGGTTTTTGTTTTTGCGCTTTCGAAATGTACTCACATTTGGTCAGACGAGGGGAGGCGGCACTTCCAAGGGGGCGGGTTGGGGGGTCGCTTCGTCTAGTCTGGCTGGAGTTTGCTGTACGTACACTCACAAGCACGCACACGTACACACACACACACACACACACAAAGGTAAATAAAACATTTGGATTTTTTTGCAAATATTTCATCAGAAATTTGTGTGCCACTGTGCACAGTGACACGCGCATTTTATTCAAATTTACAGAAAATTGTAAGAAATCGCACGACTCTTGCCGTTGATTTTTTTCATTTTTGCTTTAAATGTTTGTTAAAATGAAAGAATTCTAAGAGAAAATTTTAAATTTGTTTCTTTTTTTGTTTTTCTTTTTTTGTCATACTGCGGGTAGTTCTTGCACAAGTTGTTGTTGTTTTTCTTTTTAATTAGATTTTCCTTCCAGCTCAACTCAGGAGTAGAGCCCGATTTCCTTGTAGTTTTTTTTACGTGTATATATATATATACTTTTTACTATATAATGCATCATAATTTTGTAATCAGAGAGCGCCGCGCTTCAATTGTGAAAAAAAATGTAGAACATATATTGTTAGATATAGTTGCTAATTTTTTTGATTTTTTGTTGTTTTTGTTTTTTTTTGCTGGTTGGAGTTTTGTTATAATAATATCTATCGTATATTTAGTACAACATATGCATGGTTCTTTTGTTTTATATTTTTGTTTTCGTTTTTACAAGTGTTTTTTTTTTGTTTTGTTTTTGCATGAAATAAATTAAATAGTTATTAAATTATATAACAAAAAAGAAATGGAAAAGTTTATAAATATATATATATATGCATATTTAAATAATAAAAAAAAACTAGATATGCATCTATATAAAATTGATCACTTTTGTGTATTTTGCATTGTTCTAAATACATTTCAGAAAGGGGCGAAATTCCTGCCCAAAGAAAAAAAAGCTCTTGTTGTTAAACAAATAATAACAAATTCATGAAGAATGTTTTTTTTTCTACTTGACAGCAAACCGAAATCGCTTGCAAGAATTTTCTTTTTTGTTATATATAGAGCAGAAAAATATGTTCGACTACACACACAACTACATATTGGGGATTTAGTTTTAGTTTGCTTTGATTTTCTTTAATTATTATAACTGTTACGAGTTCTTAGTCATAGTTTTTCTTGAATTCTGAGCGCGGCCAAAAATGATGTTTACACTATTTTGTTTTTTCTATCGGGCTTGAACATTTAACTTATATTTTAATAGTCTGTCTATATTTAATGAATTTTTGTACTTTTTTAGATTTTTTGTTGATTTTTTTTTCTTTCGTTTTTGTTTTAGTTTTTTTTTTAGGTCCAGTTTTTAAGTGTTTACAAAACAAACATGGAGAACAAAGAGTTATTAAAACTAATTTCAATTGTGGCGCGGGTGGTAGATTGTTTTTTTTTTGTTTTTTTGTGTTTTTTTTTCGAATTGTTTAAACAAAAAATTGCTGTCATATTCCGTATGCCTGTGCCCGCCCTTTTTAGTGGGCGTGCGGTTCGTTATCAATTCTCATATCGTTTTCTTTCACCGATCTCAAAATGGTCCGGAACGACATCAATCTTTTGTATGATGGTCCGCATCATTTCTATATAATAGTTGTTTTTTTTTTGTTGGTTTTTTTTTTCATTTCATTTGTGTTTTTTTTTTTCTGTTGTTTTCTAACGTATTTTTTGTTTTGTCTTGCCGCAAATGTTAATTGAAAAATTATATGCTGCCTGTCGCCTAAAGCAAATCAAGCTCTGGCTGGGCTGACGACTGGCTGACCTCGCATTTTTCAATAGTTTCTTAAATGGTAGAACCAGCGTAAATAATATATATATATATATATATGCGTATGCTAAACGAATTATGATGCATCATTTTGTTTGTTTGTTTTTAGCAATATATACACACACGCACACTCCATGCACACACACACTAGCACACGCACACGCACACGAATTGTGGAGCAGTTACTCAGTTCTCGTTTTAGCTGTAGATATGTCTTTTCTACTGCTGCCACAATTTGTTGCTGCCGCTGCTGCTTCTGCTGTTGCTGCTGTTGTTGCTAATGTTGTGCGCATAGATGATGATGATTCCTGCCTGCCGCTGCTGCTGCTGCTGCTGTTTTAATCCCTTGCCCCTGTTGTCCTATTATTGGGGGCTGCTGCTTTGCTGCTGCTGGGTGCTACTAACATTGTTCGAAAATTGGAATAATGGGTGAAGTTGGCCAGTCCTCCTCCTCCTCGGAGCTAATACTCTCGGTTCTGCAAAGACAAAGAAGTGCCATTAAATAAGTATTATATCATTGTTAGCATTATCAAGTTGAAGGTCGACTCTCTATCGGCCAGATCAGCTGATTTTTGCTTTCGAACAAAACTTTGCACAAGTGCAATTCATTTTTTTGACGCAGTGCGAAAGTCGTACCGGGCATTGAACTTGAACGTGTTTGTGACTAATCTGAAGCAATATGTACATACATATATATATATATATATACATATACATAAGACCCACCTCACCTGATAAGAAACCAACAACAGGCCTTCAAATTAACAAAGCAAAATAAAAAAAGATAAAATCAATTTTTTGGTATTGCACTGAATTTTGAATGCCGTTGCCAAAAACTGAAAAAAATATATGTATTTGTTTTTTGTTTACTTTAAACTTAGCACACTTTGCTCCAAAGCTGACGACTCAATGTCAAGAGCACTAATTAATCCATGTGAAAACAAATTAAATATATACACACATACAAACATGTTTGCAAATGTTTTGTGCATATGCAAAAAATCGTTAAAAGGTTAATCTTTCAGTTTATTTTGTATTTGAAACACATTTAAAAAAAAAAAGGTCTAATAATATTGTACGTAGAACTTATATCTATACATATATGCATATATGCATAATAAATGTAATTTTTTTGCAATGCTCTTTCCCGTATTCATTTATTACATCAATAACAAACCTATAACCTACAAATATCTAATAAAAATCTATAAAAACTCTATTTACATATGCACACATCCTTTTTTCTAAGCAATGCACAAACGCGCTGTCATATCTGATATGCCCACTTTGGCTAGTGTATGTGGGCGTAAGTGTCAAGGTCTTGCAATGATATTGAAACTTGTATATTTGTATGTATGTATGTACATATAGCAAGAATCGATGGACGAACGCCAGAAGAGCACGGCCCACGCCAAGCGATTGACGCACACGCAGGGGCGGGAGAATTTCATAATGATGCGAATTCCAAAAGTTTCTCTTAGGTAACTGTAACGGCGACCCTCTTACGAGTGCTTGGGCGCGTGTGTGTGCCCTGCTGCTTAGGCGGGCTCTCTGATAAGATTGTTGTTGAAAAAACAACACGCACACAGCGCGACAAAACAAAGTAATATAAATACATGTGCATATGTAAAGGTATGTGTGTGTGTATATAGTAGACACATACATATTCATGTGCATATGTGTCTGGGCTGTCGAGCTATAGGTGTTGTTGTTGTTGTTGTTGTTGTTGTCGGACCACTTTTGGCAAATGCTACGAGTTGGGCAGGCAAAACCAGCCACTGGGTCTCATGATTTTCTATGCTAGCTGTTGTTGTTGTTCCTGTCGCTGTTGCTGTTGTGATAATAAAATCACGTCAATTCTATAAACTTGTTTACGCCAAAAACCCGACACATACACTCGCCTACATACGTACGAGTCCAAAGAGTGCTAAAAATAAATAACGGACCCTCAGCCTTTCCGCTAGACAAACGAACAGAAAATGTTCTAGAATGGAATATTGCGTTTGTCTTCTATCCAAGGAACTGAACAACCAGGGCTGCAAGCCAAAGAACAAATTGGTTTCGGTTCGGTTTACGCTTTGAATTCGGTTCGTGAGCCTGGTTTTAGTCATCCATGAACTTGGCTTTTGATAAGCCTTTCTTATATACATATATTTTCAAATTGTTGCCATTTTTGGATCGGATAGTTTATAGATAATAGTTTAAAAATAAACTGGGATTCCGGTCGTGGCCCGGTTCGGTTCAAATATGGCTACAACTCTCTCTCTCTCTCTCTTAGCCATTTCGTTAACAATCGTTTTATACATATTCTATATATGAACTTACCTCGAGCGCAGGCCATCATCTAGGGCATTCGATATACCCTCCTCGATGGTGGGCAAATCGGATGAGAAGCGATTGATCGGGCGCAGGACGCGCAGCGTGCGACTGGATAATTTCCAGACAAGCCGCTGCTTGTAGGGCGCCTTATTCTGTCCATTGTAGTGGGACAGAATGCCCGAGACAATGCTAAAACCGCAGGTGAAAACGCGATCGGGAATCTGCAAGGCGAACAACACAATTATTATATAAATAATATAAAATTGTTGTTATTTGAACGTACCCTCATGTATTGCTGCAGGAAGAGTATGTACTCAAATACATGCTTCAGTTCGGGACTGCCGCGTGTGTACGACTCCTTAATATGGAAATCCAGATGCAGGCAGATGAGCACTAGAGCCAAAGTCGCCGGCGTTATGACCGTCGTCTTGACATCGCACAGCAATATCTCCAAACGATTCTCCAGCTCCTCCAGTTTGATGAGCTGTTGATAGAATTTGAAGAAATCACCGCCAATCTCCTTCGCCAAGTTGCGGAAGAGTGCGTAATAGATGCGCAGGTAGCTAACGGATGTGATGGGCGCATGTCCCATCTGTACGCCCAGTTTATTGGCAATAACCCCGGCCATGCGTTCCAGATCGCCAGCGGTACAACCACACTATATAAGCATAATAGTAGACAATTGTATATACCTGATATTATGTATTTGTGTGTGTGTGTGTGTGTGTGTGTGACATACCTGAGATATTGTTACCAAATCGTCGGCAGGTATGGGCTTCAAGTCCAGCTGCTTGATGGCCAAATGGAAGGAGGCAACGCTCATGCAGGCCATATGCTTCGGCTTGACAGCCATGCGATCCAGAAACCGATCCACCAGGCTCATGGCTGAGAACAGCACATCCGACGGCAGCTCGTACCACATCTTCAGACAACGCAGCACATACGCTGATCCATCACGTCCGCCGGCGGTAACCTCGCGCTGTAAACAATAAGATCATCATATGAGCTCTAGATGTACAAAATTCATATAGTTTCTCTTTCGTCCATATCCCGCCCGTCGGTTTTGAGGTATTCCACAATTGGGGAAACACCTATACATTAATTATGTGCTCAGAGCTACTAGGCTTCAATCAATTAGTCAGTCAGTCAAATACATATGTGAATATATAGAATCTTTGACTTACCCTCGACTCCTTGGGCAGCAACAATACCGTATGATATTTATCTTGCAGTGCATCGTACTCTTTTAGGGTCTCATACAGTTCATCCGAGCTGAGCGCATGTAATTGATCCTCTAGTTTTTTAAGCGCTGTCGGCTCAGCTCCAGCTGCTCCAGCTCCTGCGGCTCCAGCTTCAGTTTCCAGTGTTTGTTGTTCGTACTTTTGATATTCCAAGCCAGCAGCACCCGGTGTCCCATACCGGCCCTCGTCCGCAATCCTCATCCAATCAGTTGGCATCTCTGCATTCTGATCCCCCCCGTCGATGCCATTACCCATTGATTTGCCCCTTAAAATAGCCGCCGCTGCCTGAGCCGATGTTGATGGTTGTTCATCATCGACCAGGATAGCATTGATGCTAATTGCATCCATGTTATTAACGTTGTTATTGTTGTTGTTGTTGTTGTGATGATGGTTATTGATGCTGGCGACGTTGTTATTTATACTGTTATTATTGGGCAAATCAAGTGCTGGCATAGCCGTTGAGGACATCAACATCGATGACCGCTGCTGCATCAACTGCTGCTGCTGCTGCCGCAACGCCTGCTGCTCCGCCTCCAGCTGCTGCTGCAATTGGCAATACAAAAGAGCCTCCTCCTGCTCCCGCTCCTGTTCGTATTGCTGTTGGTATTGCGCGTATTGCTGCTGTTCGAATTGTTGCTGCAGTTGCTGCTGCTGCTCCTGCTGCTGTTGTTGTTGTTGGTGGTATTGCTCTTCTTGGGTTAGAGTATTATCCAAACCACTATCAACGACGACGGCGTATTCGGCGGCAGCAGAGTAGCGTACAGGGACAGACATTGTGAGGGCTGGCCTAGTACCTGTATATGGCAAGGTTTTTGTTTTTCTTATATGTATAATAAAACGCAAACGATACAAAAATCCCTTTGCGTTTAGGCCAAATAAATTGGGTTGTCCCTTAAACAACTTGTTTGATATGATTTTATTTTCAGCAAAAGCCCAAAACGTAATTTCAAGCCAAGTACCAAGTACAAGATATCAGCGAGTGCACTTGTATAGAAAAAAAAGAAAAACTAGTGCGCTCTCAATCTGCAGCTCGAAATTAAGACCGAAAATGCAGCGCTTCAGGGATTATATATATATATATATATATAGGTTTTTGTATAATTATTATTATAATCCACTGCTGGCGCAAATGCAACCGAAAATAAAATGAACTGTTTGCTACTTGTGCTGCACACACCGGTTTGAGTAGCCCAGAGCCGAAAACAATATTAAAAATTGTAAAATCGAATACGAGTCGTATTTGGTTTTAGAGCTCTGTTAATGACCGCAAAAACCTTAATGCAATTCTTTCAACAATTTGCAAACAGTTAAACAAACAAAACGCCCTCAACAATGAAATGTGCATATATATTGACAATTATATATATATATATATCAATATATATTAGTGACAAATGTGCGCAGTGTACTAACGACAATAACGATGACAAATTGTGAACATATATCTATATCATATATATATATATTCTGTGTCTATCAGTCAGTCTTAACGTACGCTGTTCTTCAAATGTCTTCTTTTACCAAATTTGTAAAAATATATATAATTTCTAGCGTCAATGTGGTTTATTATGTGTTCGCTCAGTGCTTGTTACGATAATAAACGCGAGACGCTGAAAATTTGTTACAGTGTATTTATTTAGTAGCTCGTTCTTGAACTATTAATGTTGCTCTTAAATTTTTCCTCGTAGTGAGTGGAAAAATCTCTCTTTTAGCTAAAATATATAAAAACTTACGAGCTGCAAAAATTATGCAAGCACATTAAAATAAATTATTAGGATAAATAAATAAAAATGTTAACAAAAAATACGTGGTTCTTTTTTTTTTTAAGTGTACATGCTAAATGTCAAATGAAGTTCATTAATTTCATATTATTGTTAATATGGCAAGAGCATTGCTCTTTGGTGTTTTTTTTTTGTTTTTGTTTTTTGTATTTTATTTAAAATACTCAACTGTTTACAATGCGTTGAACGAACTTTGATTGAGCGTAAAACTGAGCATAAAACCAAGTGCACAGCACAGTGAGACAGGTGGGCGTAATAAACGGACTTCTGACATTGGAAAACATTTGATTTATATCTGACCTCAAAAATTTGTACACATTTTTATTCAAATCACAAACATGACACAAGGCTGCTTGAGAAGGGGTGAGGGTGGGGGTGACAGATGTGGGAGGGGGAGTGTGCGATCGCCGTCTCAAGGCGAACCACTTAAATAGCCTGGCTGTGTATATTGTCTAAGAATTTAAGACAATATTGATTTCCCTGAGGCGTCCACAATGATTGATTTCCGATTTGAAAATTCGTATAAATACAAAAACAAGAACACAAGATAAAACAAAAAAAAATAAAGAAGCTCATTGCTCGCACTTGAGTTAACAAAGTGGCCGCCATCTTGTTCCAATTCAGCGTTCGCCTTACAGCTAATAATACAAAGACTGCGGCTACGCTGGGATTGAGAGATAACACAGCAGCAAGAGCAATAATAACAACAGTACCAGGGCTGGGCCGCAGCTCAGGCGAGCTTTCTCTAATGCTTATGCTGGTGTGCTGGCAATTGTAATGGAGGAAGCGAAAAAAAAAAAAAAAAAACAAAACATTAAATAATCTAAACACTCGTATAGAGGCTAGCTGATAAATGATAAATGCAACTAAACAAAGAAAACACACAGTTTCGAAATCTGAAGCTGAGCGGAGCCACTTGAGAGTGTGAGATGCATGTTTATGCTGCAATTGACGTATGAAATATTATTTAAAGTAGCAGCGGGATATGGTGTTGAAGACAATTTTGATATTGCCTGCTATTTATAGTTGAATGGGGGATTTTAATTTGTAAACATGCAGCCCTGAAAAAACCCCATAACAAGTGTATATCGTCTGTTTCAAAACAGTTGTCATTAACCTGCCTCATGGCTAGCAGCTTAAGACCCCGTTTACAAGGCTGAACATTACAAAATTTAAAATACCTAAATGAGCTATAATTCAAGTTCGTTTTAATTTTAGTTAATTTCAAAATGTGTTTTCTCTATATAAAAGTATATATGTACATATTATTAAGAATGTGTTGATCAATTCGGCTGAACTTTCGCCAAAAGTCCGACCGACCGCACCTTAATCGTATTTCGAATGTGAATCAGCCGAACCCAACCGATGAGGGCATAACCAACATATCTGACGCATATGCAGAATTTAAATAAAACTTCAACTCTTTATAAATAAAAACAGACGAATCATGCTATTTTTGACTTCCGTTCACGAAACAAAACAATAAACCCACTTGCTGTAGAGCCCAGTATTTCAATTCAAGGTCGTCAAGCCAAGAAACTAGTTTTAGATGGGCTTCAAGCATGACTCTGCAGCCCTGCAATGATGCCATAGAGCTTAAAATCTGACAAGCGACAAACTAACGGCACCAGTCAAAGTTCAACTGTACGCTACGGCGAGCATAAAGCTGCGCACAAGGCGAAACAGTGCGAATGATGAGAGTGCGAATGAGTAGATCAGAAAACTAAAGCTTGAAGAGAAAAGAGTTGTGCGCATGCGTCTGTATTGGTGTTGCTTGATCTGTTAATCTGGATTGTGATGTAAATGCAAACAAAGATGGCGAGCGAGAGAGGGGCACACATTCTATTGATCTTGTCAAGGCTCATCATATTTTCCAAAAATATTCTATCACACATACATATCTATCGTGATGTGCATACACATTTCCCAATTGGATTCAACAGTTTCTAAATTGAATTATTTTTTAAGTTTCTGCCTTTTGGTTTGGTCAACAAAAAAAACAAAAAGTATTACGCGCGCGCCGCTGACGCAAAGCACGTACACACACGCTTACACTTACACACTGATATGGAGGCATGTATGTGTGACAGTTGTGTGTGTGTAGTTGTTTTTATTTATACATGAGCTTTACCTAGGCTGCTTCTTGTTGTTATTGTTATTGACTGCACAACTTAGCCAACGTTTTCGAGCGCTTGTTACAAAAAATTTCACTTTTTGCCTATTTTCGTAACTGCCAAACGCACGTTAAACGAAGACGACCGCAATGGGCGGCAGCGATTGTGGGGGCGTGGTCCGGCGCGCTCAGGTGTGAAATATGAAAATATGATTGTATATACATGCATATGCATGCGCATAAATACGCTCATGCAACGAGTTTCAACTAAAATAAGTGAAGAGCGCGAGAGAAAGAGAGAGCGAGAGACGCTGATCTCTTTAGTACATACAAAACACATACTCTCTATGTATGTGTTAGAAAACGAAAGTGGTGTCTGTATGTGCCTGTGTGTGTGTGTGTGTGCTTGTCTATTCTCCGTTAATTTAGCTAAAGTGCACGAAATCAAAACAAAGGCAAGCTAAAAGCTTGCAAAATATTTTCCATCATTTTTATTTGTGTCGCTGTTTTATTAACAAATGCAGACGCACACGCAAGTGCGACAGGGACGTGTATAGTTTCGTACAAACACCTGCACGAGCGAGATAGCATTTGTTATTCAGCAATTTTTGTGTTGATTTTTTTTTTTTTTTTTTTTGTTGCCTTTCAACGGTTTATTCATTTATCAGCGCTTAATTGATGTTGGGCTGCGTATTTAAAGCTGCTGAAGGTCAACAAATGACAGCCAATTGGAGCTACTGTTAAAAAAAAATAAATAAAAAACGAAGACAGCTTTCGAGTGCGAGCAAACAGTTAACTGCGCCAACAACAACAACAACAGCCGTTGCAGCAGCTCGGGAAGTTTCGGCGCTGCTTGCGTCACGCTGCACGCAGCGACTTCGCAGTCAAACGTGACGCCAAACAGGTACACAACAGCTGGAGCTGGCCATGACATGTGAACAGGACGCCAACACAAAACCCCTCCATGCTTTGCATATGCGCAACCAACCCTCTTAAGCTTAAAATAACCAACACGTTGGCAACAGCTTTGGCTTTGATGAAATTAACAAACGAAATTGTGCAACGAGCTGTTAAGGGCCCGCCGACTCGGGTTCAAGCAACCCCCTCCCCCTCCCACCAATGACTGCTGCCAACACGGCCCAGGAAGGAAGCCAAACAGACGTCGCGACGTCCAAAATTTGTTTTCAACCCCACTAGCACGTACACATATACACACACACACACATACACACACACATTCACAGGCATATGTAAATATGAAAGCGAAACGCAGCCAAAGCGGAAACATCAAATGCTGCCCGTTGACAGGACGCAAGCGCAGCAGCTGTCTTCTGGCATGAGCTAGAAGATAAATTATTGCATTCCGAATGAAACAAAAGAGGGAAGAACTATTCATTTTGTCTGTAGGTATGCCTATGTTTATATAGCCTTAACGTACGCATCTAAACAATGCAGAAAAACTAAACAAATTAAAAAAAAAAAAAATTAATCTAAACAATTTAAGAAACAAAAAAAAATACTATTCAACTATTTGTTATCAAAGTCGCGGTACGCTGCGTCTCGCTCTTTCTCTTCCTTCCTTCCCTTGAATATTGTTTCTGATTCCAAATCACGCGACTTCCTCCGCTCAGACCCGTTCGCAAGTTCATTCGTCGAACTTTGCCTCTCGCTAGTTCCGCGCTCTGACGGAATTGCCGTTCACTATCCTATGTACGTATTTTATGTGCGGTCTATTGGCTGTCTCGACAATCTATCAACGGACGCGCTTAAATAGCACAGACACGAATATATTTGCATTTCTATTATCGCCTGACTTATGCACCAAATGCTGGCATACAAAACGAAACGAAATGAAGATAGCACAAGCAAATACCTTAAGTTTTCATTATCGAGAATGAGAATGAGAAAAATGCATCGAGGCATTCTTGTGCATAGAAATTGCCATGACAGTCGTGTGTTTTTTTTTTTCAATTTTAAAGGTAATTGGTAAAAAGGCATTTTGAGAACTTGGCCAGATAAGCCCTTACACTTAACGAAACTGTGTGCACTTTGTACCAGACCAAAATGAAAACAAAGCGAACTACAAGAGCTGATAAGCGGGCTTTGAATGTACTTTTATCAGGTTTTTCAATATTTATGCATGTTTCTTTCCAATCTAATTGGGTAATTATTACATTAGATAAAGGTAAACGCTCGCCGGAAGTGATAATGAGTTAAATGTTATTATGGCCAAAGTTGACTTTGGGCAGTGATATACAGTGAAAGCTCTGCTAACGAACAGCCTGCAGCAAAATCAACAGGAATTCAATTTAAAAATGGGTGTCCGCTTTCAAAAGTTTCCACTGTACTCAGTCAGAGTCTTGTAGCATTCCATGACGTAAACTGAGATAAAACAATTCGATCTTATCGCTCGACATAAGGATTGACTCATTAGCATTCACAGTATCAATTCCAGTTCCAGTTGCAAGTACATAGCCGCTGGCACAAAACCGTTGAACGATAACAATGGAATGAAGAGCCAGCAGCTGCCAGTGTTGGAAACCAGCAGCTGCATTGGAATGCTTTGGCACCCTCTCAATTGAATTAGAGAGACGCACCTTCCAAACAAAACAAAAAAAAAAAAAAAAAAAAATCAACAATAAAAAGTAGCAGCTATTGAAAAAGGGGTGGACCCTCGAAAGTCGTTTTGGCTTGGCACGAGCTGACGTCTATTGCTGACAGGGGCAACTCGGATTACCACTATATGCATATCGGGGGGTTGAAAAAGTCTATTTCAACGGCGGTTCTGGGCTTGACAATAGATTAACTTTCGCTGTGCGCATTTTGAAATGCTTATTGAGCTCATTTACGCTGAGTTGGTGAATAGATAAAAGCAAACCGTTCCGCAATTTTGGACTATGCGTCACTTTTTTTTTTGTGACCACTGTACCCAAATCACAAACAGCTGTCCAGTGTTGTTAATTTTTTTTGTTTGTGCCTTTAAAAACTTTTTTTTTTTAGGTAGACTCAAGTTTCACTTGAGTGACAGCTGTTGAAAATTTGCCAGGCAAGTAACGGGATATTTAAAAAAAATAATATTTTTTGACTAGTATTCGAAGATACAGGTAGATACGAAACATAACTGTGCATCACTACAAGTGAAATTTCTGTTGACAGAGAGAGGAATTTACGTGCAATTTAAGGGGCGGCTGACCGCAGTCAAGATCAAGATGGCTGCTCTGTCTCTCAATCGCTTACTCTTTCAAACCGTTACACACGCACACACATACACAACCATAAATGAGCCGAGGAAGCTACAAATCAAATTGTGTACAAGACGCAACAATAAAAAACAAACACGAAATGCGCGCCAACGCCTCAAAGTCAACAAAAAGACGCCAAAGCAAAAGTTGAAGATTTCAAATGTAAAAAGAATGTAAAAGGGGCGTACGTAAATGAGGAAATAAACAAAAACAACGGTACGCAAAGCAAAGCATCACCCACACAAAGACACACACACACACACGTACATATATATATATATATATATATATGTGTACACACGAACGCATGCAAATTAGTATGTGTAGGAGCCCTTATGGAGGTTATTTGTCCATGGCTAAATAAAGAGAAACAAAATTTAAAATATAGCAACATTTTTTGATTGCTGCGACAACACCAACAAATTGAAATCAACAAATATGACCCAGAAAGCAAAAAACGCTGAAGGTGAAATCAAGCAGAGAGCGAGAGCAAGACAGCAACCAATAAAAACTAAAGAAAAAAACCGTGAGACTTACGTTCGGTTTAAATATTTTTAAGACATTAAACACAGTCTTAAAACAAGTTAAAAACTGGCAGACTTTGGGGCATGTAAATATGTGCAAGTATAAATAAATTTTTTCAATTGGCTGACGCAATTTTGAGCTTGCACTCACACACAGAAAACATACATTCGTATTGGTGTAAGAATACAAAGCAAAAACCAAATGGGAACACGAACATAACACACACAGAGAAAACTCTTTGTTTGCGCACTGTGAGTGTATATGTTGACAGAGAAAGAGAGAGAGAGAGAAACGAATGATACGATTTGGAACTGAAACACTGCCATAATTGTTGGAGCTCTCGCACAGTTCGTTGAAAACAATATAAGACAATAAAAATAACCACTGCAATCAAATTGCAAAACAGTATAAGGTTAATTCAATATGCAGAGAATCAATGTGTGCTAGTTAAGAAAATTGTATATAGCACAACTGTTGTGCGTAATTGTTTGGATAACTGTACTACTACTACTGAGATACAAGCATAGTTTCTCTTACGTCTCTCTCAGCAACACCTATGAATAGCTGCTCCACTGCCCCCCTACCCATTGTCATAAACACACACACGCACAATGAAATGCATATAGGAACACGAACATACATACAGCTACATATACATTTATGCTCGAACAGCTGGGAAACGGATTGAGAATTGAAACAAACACGTAAATTGTTTCTACAATTTTTTTTCTTCATACATAGTTGCTTTGCATTCATACAAATGTACTTATGTATGAGTGCAAATGTACATACATATACACACACACACTCTATTAAAAACAATTGACTAGGGAACGCAAACTAGGCCTCTTTTCTGATTAAACGCAATGAAATTTTTGTTCTTTTATATAAGTAATGCTTACATTTTCACAGCCATTTTGTTGTTTTTATGTTGCGCAGGAATGTTTCGAGATGAATTAGTTACTTGAGAATCTTGGCGAAAATTGTATTATTGCACTTGAAAAAATAAGTGTACAGTTGGAGTTGTCGTTTAGTTCTTTATTTCTATTCTAAGTGTTTCTTTTATCTAATTTGTACTGCAAAAATGTATCACAGTTAAATTGTTGTTGTTGTTGTTTTTGTCAGAGTCTCTCGTTTAAGCCAACATTTTTCATGTTCTTTGCAAACAGTTTGTGGATCGATTTTTCCCACGCACTAGTTTAAAAGTGGTAGGTTTTTCCCATCAGCTGAACATCTTTGCTGTTATTGTGGACTTTGCTACTGTCTTATTTTATGTTAAATATACATTTGATCTTGCATGTAGTAAATTCAAATTCAAATTATACACAATTTTTTATGCAAAATCACACACACACACATTCAAGTACAAACACACGCGCTCTATTACAGTCCAAACGGTACTTTGCTTTGTTGCTTCCAAATGTAAACTGACGTTTCAAAAAGAGGAGAAAAACAGACTTTGGCAACAGAACGGGCATGTTGCCTCACTCGTTCAAATGTTGCCTCACTTGTGTTGCTACGAATGCTACGTGTTGAAAGAGCGAGAAAATGTTGCTGGCTAATGCTGAGACACTTGTGTACAAGAGCGCGTATGTTGACATGCAATTTGGTATTTAAATACCGCAAATTTGTCCAAATACGTACTTTTTATATACATATGGCCACTTGTTAGGTGGTTGTTTGAAATTTTCTACGTATTGGCAATCCTGCATTAAAAACTCCGTTGGGTGGCAGCCTTTAGAAAGCGCGGTTCTTTTAAATTAATTATACAGCCAAAAGTGTAGATTAAAAGAAATACATAAATATATGCTCATAAAATTAGTGATTAAGCATACCTAATTTCACAAGCTACTGTAAATGACTATAAATATAATTCACATAGCAGTACATAATACTTATCTATCATCTACCAATCTTTCAACTTGTCAATTTTCCCTGATATCACGTTGAACATATTTACGACGTATTTTTATGCTTATAATTTTCACTGTACATTTTCATTGCTATTGAGAAAAGTGAAAATCTTTTTTATTTAAGCTGTTGCTAAGCGATTTATTGAATGAACTAGCGGGGTTGGGGAGAAGGGAATTTGCTATTCCACATACGCACACATACATGCACGTTCACACATTCGCTTGCGTGTGCGTGCTTCCAGAAACTTGCAGCAACATGCTTGATATATAAATATAAACTGTATTTACACCGAAATCGAATGCACAAATGCAATCGACGAAGAATTTTAAATTAATATTTCAATAGCAATCCACTTAAATGACATATTTCAAAGAAAAATAAGCAATAACCTCCGTTTTAGATTTCGTCACAGACACACACACACACACACACACGCATTCTTATTGGAAGAAACGCGTGGCGCAGGTCACTTGCAAAACTCAGTTAAGTTAACGCCAACAAAGTCGTTTTTCGCATTGAAACACAGTTAACCATTATGTTAGATGAATATTTATACACTTTTTTAAATAACTTACCCGGATGCCTCTGTGTTTTAATCAGTATTTGTCTTCTTTTTTCTGAACTGCGACACGACCAAATATATGTAAATATCTAAATGAAATGAGCTAGCGTAGGGCTGGCAAGCAGCAATTCAGTTCTTTAGAACCGGTTCCGAACTGGAGCGAGCGAATGAACCAACAATTGTTGCGCTCAAAATGAATTTAAATTGTTTGTCAAAATGTTTATTGTTGTTTAATTTTGAACACAAATTAGCTGTTTCAATTTATTTTAAAACGATAAAAGAATTTCACAATATATTTATTTTGATATAAAGATAACAGTTACATAAATGTTAATGTTAATGGCCACTGTTACTCGTAGGTGTGGTATTTTCCATGCTATAAATAGATAAAGGCGTGATAGCCTGATCAATCTTTTGTTATTCTCAAGTTGATTGCCGAAGTGTGTAGCGGTATTATTTGCAACAGAAACGAAAAGCAAAATGAGCTTCAAGGAACAACCAAAAGGTTTCGCCACGAAGGCCATACACGTTGGCCAGGATCCGGAGCAGTGGCAGAGCGCCTGTGTTATACCGCCCATTGTCACGAGCACGAATTTTAAGCAGGATGCGCCGGGCGAGCATCGTGGATATGCCTACTCGCGAGGCGGCAACCCCACGCGCAATGTCCTGCAACAGTGCCTGGCCGCGCTCGATAATGCCAAGTACGGTCTGACCTTCTCCTCGGGCCTGGGCGCAACAACCGCTGTCCTGGCAATGCTCAGTCGTGGCGATCATATCGTTATGGGCGATGACGTCTACGGCGGAACAAATCGACTGATTCGCCAGGTGGCAACACGTTTTGGTCTGACGGCCACTTTTGTGGATGCCACCGATTTGGAGAGTTTTAGAGCGGCCTTCAAGCCGGAGACAAAGCTGGTCTGGCTGGAGTCGCCCACGAATCCCTTGATTAAAGTGGCTGACATAAAGACTTTGGTCAAGATCTGTCGTGAAGTGAGCAGCGAGGTTGTTATTGCTGTGGATAATACCTTCCTAACCTCTTACTTTCAAAGACCCCTCGAGCTGGGCGCCGATTTGGTCTGCTATTCCCTGACCAAATACATGAATGGCCACACAGACGTTGTCATGGGCGGCATCACAATGAATTGCGATAAGCTACATGCCAGCCTGAAGTTTTTGCAAAATTCGTTGGGCATTGTACCCTCGCCCTTCGACTGTTATCAGGTGAATCGCAGTCTGAAGACCTTATCGCTGCGCATGGAACAGCACCAGGCGAATGCACTGCAAGTGGCCAAATTTCTGGAATCACATGATTTTGTCGAGCAGGTCTTGCATCCGGGTCTGCCCTCTCATCCCCAACACCAGATAGCGCTTGCTCAAACCTATGGCTACAGCGGTGTCTTCTCCTTCTACATCAAGGGTGGTCTTGCGCATTCTACGGCATTCCTCAAGGCTCTCAAGGTGTTCACCCTGGCCGAGAGCCTTGGTGGTTACGAGAGTCTCGCCGAATTGCCATCGATTATGACGCATGCCTCGGTGCCCGCTGAGGATCGCAAGACTTTGGGCATTACGGATGCCCTGATACGCCTGTCGGTGGGCTTGGAGGACGCCGCAGATTTGATAGATGACATCAAAAATGCCCTGGACGTGGCAGCTAAAGCCTAATTAGTTTGAATAGCAATCACAAACTGTTCCCTGTGGCCTTTTTAAGTGAATTAAATATTTGTATATTCATTTATTTGTTGCACTAATCTGTTTGGGATCATGGAAACTACGTGATAAAGTAGTCAGATCTTCTTTATATAATCATGAGCAGCGAAATTTAAGTATAAACTATTTAATTCTTACATAACTCTAATGCCGAACGTAAACAATATTTTAATTAGAGAATTTAGTCTAGAAAGATAATTTGATTCTGTTAACATAGATAGAACCCAGCATGGGATTCGGCTGTCGATATGGGTTCAGTATGTATATATTATATAATTAGCAACTGATCAGGTTTCTATATAAACTAAACAAATTGATGCCGTGTTTTCCTATGAGACTCTGTATGTAGCTAACGTACATACATATTCATATGTTTATGGTATATATTGTATATATATATAGGTATTATATGATAGACAAGACTAGCTTGGTGCTTAAAATCTAAGAATCTATAAGCTATTCAGTTTATTGTGCGCTATAATGTGGTCCCGGCGTGGGCACGCTCTTGAGTGGCGAATCAAAGTCAATTGTGGGCTGGTCGAGAATGGGCGTCTCTGGTGCAACGGCTGTGCCGATGCGCTCCTGCAGCGTCTCGTAGAGCTTGTGTATGTGCTCGTTGTGTGCCGTGGTCGGCTGCATGGCCTTCATCAGTGTCGCCAGGCGGCCAACGGGCAGCTTGTTGTAGACATACCACAGCAGCTTGAGCATGTGGCGCGAGGTGACATTCTCGCGCGTCAGGCCCGCAAAGATGAACTCATCGAAGAGCGTGGTGCAGAAGTCCTCTGTGGCGAACTCTTCGCTCATGGGTATGAGCAGGGCAATTAGCGAGTGCAGGAAGGGATCCTCATAGGCGCGATCATCCTTGCAGGCGGACAATATGGCCAAGACGCGCAGCACACCGACGCGATCCTTGACGCGAGCCGTGTGCAGCGTATAGTACATGGCCAGAATGCTGGCCACCGAGCTCTCCTGTATGTAGGCCTCCACGGCATCGGGCGCCGGTCCCGAATGCTCAATGGTCGTCAATGCGGATTCACGTTCATCGGGTGGCAGTTTGGCGTGCAGGCTACGGCACTGATCGTCCACCATGAGCGACATCAGAGCCGGCAGAAACTTGGTCACCACCTGATTGTCCAGTTTGGGCTCCTTGAAGTCCTGCGAATCGATCATGACCCAGGCGCTTAGGCCCAGCGCCAGCATGCGCAATAATAGAATCAAAATTTGATTATCCCGCGGCATGCCCTCGTTATTGATCAGATGCTGCAGTATCTTGATGGCCGAGGTGGCCAGAAAATTAATGGCATATGGATCGCACAGTGTCATAGACAGATCGCCCAGCACCTGCTCCTGGCCGCGCTTGATGTTATCCAGAAAGCCCTGCAGTTCACGCGAGCGCTTAATATCCACATTCTTCTCGCGTATACAAGCGTCTAGGCACCAGGTAAACTTGTGGCACGGATCAATCGATATGATCTCCTGCACCTCCAGATCGTGCAGTGCCATCAGCAGCTCCGCGCGCAGCGTACAATAGTGCACGTTGCGTGTGCGTAGGAACAGAGTGCGCAGAAACTGCAGCACCATATCGTACAGCTTGACGCTGTTGCCAATCATATTGGCCAGCTTCTGGACAACCTCGCCCTGCCGGCGCACCTTGGGCGTCGGCTGGAAAAACAAATTATTCAGATTGGTATGATCAAACAGGATGTGCTCCTTTTCGCGTATATATTGCGAGAGGAGCGGCGAGACCTCATCACCAAACAGCGATTGATTATCGCGCCAAATCTGGCGCTTCACCTCGGTGTCCGTGTCCGCATAGAGTTCCCGGTCGCGCATCAAAATGCGCAAATACTTGTCATCGATGTGCTGGGTATTCCGGAGTATGGCCATCACGACGGGCCGCAAGTATTTGACGCGCACCACAGGAAAACTCTTGACCAGCAGCTCCTTCAGTTTCTTTTCGCGCTCGCGCGGATCCTTCTGCCCCAGTTCGTTAATATGCGCAATCAACTTGTCGCGCAGCTCCTCCATCAGCGATGTGTGAAAGTCCAAACGACGCACTCCATGCAAATCCAACAGCGGCAGCATCGGACGCAGAGATGGCAACAGGACGCCATTCTCCAGCTGGAAGCTCTCGATGGCTTTCAGTGGATCCGTGCATGAGGTGAGCGCTTCGCGCAGAAATGCCTGACCCGGAATGTTAACATCCTCCAAGCCAGTGCCAGTGTTTTTAGCAGGCGTGCTCATTTTATCCACAAAAAAAATAGTTTAGCCTCTAATCGTCAGTGGCAACAGCTTGAAGAATAATTTAGACCAGGGCTGCACTAGACAACAAAAAGCGATGGACATTGCGCAAGGTGCGCAATTGAGATGGGTACGAATGGCACGAATTTCGGAGTATGTATATATTTTTATTTGTTTGCGTTTTATTCTTCTAAAATAAGAGAACTTATTTAAATTATATATTTTTTTAGATTTTTTCCATGTTCCCTTAAAAGTTTATAAATTATGTTATAAAATTCTTTGATATCGTTCTAAATCGTGGAATCAATATTTTAATTGTATTATAATTATTTTTACTATATTATTTTTACATAAAAGTTATGTTTTTAATATATTTTTGTTTTTGCATGTATGTATTTAATAAACATATTTTTTGGGTTTTTCGTGCGTGCTTGTATAACGATATAAAACACGATACGCACCCAACACTAAATCGCACTCAAGCAAAACCAGTATTTAAATTTCTTAAATGTTTATAATTATGTTGCATAAGTTTTATTTATATTTTTTAAAATATGTGTACGTGCAAGATAATAAATTAAATTATTTCAATAAATATTGGAATCGTTTCTTATGTGAGCGAACTTCTAAGCTATTGTGATCCGTTACTTGTACAAGTAACAGTTACACATATAAAAATCACACATCTCTAGAAAGAGCACAAGCATAGAAAAGCAAATTGGGTGGAAAACTGGCTATGGATGTACGGAAAATTATTAAGTGCATTTTTGGTGCCGTTTATTAAAAGCGCTGCAACTTAAATAAAGTACAAATAGTGCAAATATACAGAAACAAAATCGCAAACAAAAACAACAGCTCGCTAATTGCGCGAGAGTGTGTGTGTCTGTGTCGGTTGCTGCTGCTGCTGCTGCCGGACCTTTAGCTAAAGAAGTAGCAAGAGCAGAGGAGCGGAGAGCAAGAGATAAGAAGAAGCAGCACTCCTAGTCGCAAAGAAAAGCCTTGCTGTTGCCATAATTACGGCAGCTTTGTGGGAGTTCAAGTTTAACAGCGCGCGCCTCTGTGTGTGTGTGTGTGTGTGTGTGTGCAAGCATTTTCAATGTGTGCGTAACACCCCCAAAGGCGCTCTCTTTGGCACAAACTGTTGTAAAGTTACAACAACAACAATAACAATAACTGCTGGAAGCAGTAACAAGGGGAGAGAGAGAGAGAGAGAGAGTGGACGTTCGCTGACTTGCCGTTTGTTTTGTGCGCACATTCGCGTGCTTCTCTTTGTTTCGGCTGGTCGCTGCGTGTTTTTTTTTTCTTTTTTGTTATTTTGTGTGCAACGCTTGCGGCGACAGCTTCGCTTTGTGGCCATCAGCTGGATACGGATTTTGTGACGGCGGCGACACCAACAACGCCGAAGTGGATGCACATGCACGCGGTGGCCTGGGCATTGCCCAGGACTTTGGCATGGCCGGACCGGCCGCTGGTCCGCCGGCACATATGTACGGCGCCATAGCGCAACAGGACAGTAAGTGGAGCCCATTATCTAAACGTAATTATGTTCTGCTTTTAATGCCCTCTCTCTATGTTTCCGCTTCTCATAGTAATTGTCCGGGACATGGTTCAAATGCCGCCACCGCCACCCTCGAATGCGCCCACCTCAGCGGATGCCTGCCTGAGCATTGTCCATTCGCTGATGTGCCATCGCCAGGGCGGGGAGAGCGAGGGCTTTGCCAAGCGCGCCATCGAGTCGCTCGTTAAGAAGCTAAAGGAGAAGCGCGACGAATTGGATTCGCTGATAACGGCAATTACCACGAACGGCGCCCATCCAAGCAAATGCGTCACCATACAGCGCACGCTCGACGGCCGACTGCAGGTGAGCGTCAGCGTCAGCTTCAGTTTCAGCTACGCCTCTTATCGCCGCGCATTGTGTGGGGTCTATATGTTACAATACCCTGTACCCAGTGTAAATAGAGTATATTGGAACTTTTAGCAATGTATGTAACAGGCAGAGGAAAACAAATCGTACAAACATAACAAGAGAGCCGATTTCATACTCAGTTCAGGCTTTATTTCATATAATATGAAATCGTTAATAATGATAAACATAGATTTGCAGCATAGATTTTTAGAGCGTATCGAACAATTGACTAGCCAGAGACAACTGAATTGTTATGCGATTTCTCACTTTTCCACACCAATTTTTTTATAATATTCAATCTTCATGTCTTATTGAGTTGGGTATATACGAGTTTTTAGGCAGTTGCACTGGGTACAGGGTATCTCGTAGTCTTGCACGCTAGCGTAGTGCACTCAATTTGTTTTGTTTGTTTACGCTGTGGCATTTCCGGTTGCGATATGCGACGCGTACGTGTGTTTACTATTCGATTTTAATTTCATTTTTTCGTTTCACGTTTTCTTGCTCTTTGGCGGACTGCAGGTTGCCGGTCGCAAGGGCTTCCCTCATGTGATCTATGCGCGCATCTGGCGCTGGCCAGATCTGCACAAGAACGAGCTAAAGCATGTCAAATACTGCGCCTTTGCTTTCGATCTCAAGTGCGACTCGGTGTGCGTGAATCCCTACCACTACGAGCGCGTCGTCTCGCCGGGCATCGATCTGTCCGGTCTGAGCCTGCAGTCGGGCCCCAGTCGCCTGGTCAAAGATGAATACTCAGCTGGCTCTCTGGTTGGCAGCATGGACATTGATGGCAACGACATTGGCACCATACAACATCATCCCACGCAGATGGTCGGCCCGGGTGGCTATGGCTATCCGCCACAGGGCCCCGGGCCCGGTGAGTACGGTATGGCCACACATTATTGTAGTCTATTGCAGTTGACATTGTTGAGACTGCGAATGATATATATATTTTTTTGATTTCTATCAACAGTCGACTCGATATGAACTTGTCCGTCTGTCTGTGTCTATAAGTCATGACCTGACCCTTTCCTTAGGTTCGTCTTTCTGTTCGGTCGGATCGGACTGCTATATTACATATCTGTCACAGCAAGGATCGCTCGAAAATGAAGATCTTGCATGAACAAGAACTCAAATCTGTCATTTAATAGATTACTTGACTCAACAATTACGGACTTTACAATTCTCCTCGTATTACAAGGGTCTTGAATCTTCGGCGCGCCGAATAAAGTTTGTGTTGCTGTTTTGCCAGAAATCTGCTTACGTTATAGATATGTATATATATGATTTGATGTTGCTTGATTTTGCTTTAATTTTGATTTTGCCTGATTTGCGTTGTTTTCTTTTATCTTTTGTTGGTTTTTGTAGTTCCCGATGCTAATCAAATGAGTGCAATGTTTGCTGCCGGGCGCGCAATACCAAAAATTGAGCCAACGGACAGTGCCGGGCCAGTGCGTAGTGCGTGGATGTTGCGGCATCCGCCGACGCCGTTGAGCCAGGCTGCGCAGCAGCAACAGCAGCAGCAGCAGGCGGCGTCACAGCAGCAGCAGCCACAAACCCAATCCCAGCCAGCGCCGCACACTCTTTGTAAGCGTTTTTCTTTAGTTCTTTGATTTTGGTTAGCTATGTGGGACTAGCTCTTTGTGTGTCAAGCTTTCATTAACATTTTGTTTTAATATTCATTACAGCCGTACCTCATGGCATGCCGGGCATGGGCGCCATGAATCCCGGCCCCGGTCCAGTTATGGCGCCGCCACCCCCGCCCACACAAGCACAGAGCGCACAAGGCAATGGCGTGCATCATGCACAGGCCAGCTCACCCACAGATCCTGCCACGCTGGCCATGCAGCAACAGCAGCAGCAGCAACCACCGCCGGGTGGCGGGGGACCCAATGGCCAGAGCGTTGCTAGCAATTCGAGTGGAGCTGCTGGCAGCGCTGGTCAGTACTATGGAGCGGGGCCAACAGGCGCTCAAATGCAGAGCGTGGGCAACGATGTGGGCAAGTTTAGCGGCAACGCCAGCAGCGGCTCGGGTCCAGCCACTGTGCATGCCCAGCAACAGAATGGCTATGTGCCGCAGTCAGGCGGTCAGGGCACAGGCGCCAGCAGCTATGGTTCGACTCAGACGCCGTCCGCGCAGCAACAGGCGACAGCCGGTAGCCAACCCAATGCTGGCGGCGCTGCACAAGCCAGTGGTGGTGGTGGTGGTGGTGCCGCAGGCACTTGGACCGGACCCAATACACTTACCTACACACAGTCCATGCAGCCGCCAGATCCGCGCTCATTGCCCGGTAGCTACTGTAAGTTGGCGTGATGACACCCTTCCAACTTCTGTAATTGCTGAGCATTTATGCATTTTCAGGGAACTCGCCGCTGCCCGGCGATCTGGCCTCGCCGCAGCAGGCGCCGCCACAGCAGCAGCAACAGCAACAACAGCGCCTGCTCTCTCGCCAACCGGCGCCAGAATATTGGTGCTCCATAGCGTACTTTGAGCTGGACACACAAGTGGGCGAGACATTTAAAGTGCCCTCGGCTAAACCGAACGTCATCATAGACGGCTATGTGGATCCGTCGGGCGGAAATCGTTTCTGTCTGGGCGCGCTCAGCAATGTGCATCGCACCGAGCAATCGGAGCGGGCCAGGTGAGCAGAGCTACTCTAGCTTGCTCTTGCTCTTGATATTAACAACTTTTCACCATTTTTAGACTGCATATAGGCAAGGGTGTGCAATTGGATCTGCGCGGCGAGGGTGATGTCTGGCTGCGCTGCCTCAGCGATAATTCGGTGTTCGTACAAAGCTATTATCTGGATCGGGAGGCGGGACGTACGCCGGGCGATGCAGTGCACAAAATATACCCAGCCGCTTGCATAAAAGTAAATGCTAAACAAATGCAAATTTATGATTTATAACTAACCGAATCATGTTTTCTGTAGGTCTTCGACTTGCGTCAATGCCATCAGCAGATGCATTCGCTGGCCACCAATGCACAGGCCGCTGCTGCAGCGCAAGCGGCTGCCGTCGCGGGTGTCTCCAACCAACAAATGGGCGGCGGCGGCAGAAGTAAGCCGACGGAGTTGTAGATGTAGATAATTGCAAACTTTATTTATATATGTATATCTATTTGTATTGTAGGCATTACCGCTGCCGCTGGCATTGGTGTGGATGATCTGCGTCGCCTGTGCATATTGCGGCTGAGCTTTGTGAAGGGCTGGGGACCTGATTATCCGCGTCAATCGATTAAAGAGACGCCCTGCTGGATAGAAGTGCATTTGCATCGTGCACTGCAGCTGCTCGACGAGGTGCTGCATGCTATGCCCATCGATGGAGCCGCTGCATAAGAAAAAATGGCGCTTCCCAAACCGACCATACACACATACAGCCACACACCCACATACACACACGCACACACACAAAAGCATATTTATTATTCATAGCAAGAAGCACACCACGTCTAAATGTTAGTTTTAAGGATACAATTTGAGCAGCTATCGTTAAGTTAAGCAAAAGTGCAAACAAGGAAAAAAAGGATATGAAATATTTAGTTTTGATTTGCAATTACAATTATGTTTGCCTTTAATTATTTAATAATAATTTTTATAAAAAATTGAAACACCACGCTGTAAAACGTTAAGTCAACTAGTTTTATGTATCATACAGACAGCCAGATATATATATTCATATAAATTTGATAACTCGAGTTGGGCTGCATTTTATGCAATGCCCTTCCTGCCACACACATACACACACACACACACAGCATTACTTACGCAACGACTACAGCCAGAGCAAAGATAGAAATGCAATATCTTAAAGGCAAAGTAGTTGTAATATAAATGTAATAAACAGAACATTAACTAAGTGTACATCATTTTGAAGCATCATCATATTTCTCAATTCTTAGCTGCACCTGTTTATCCAGCCAGGAGAGCCAGTCGTCTGTTATGAGCCGCTCTAGGGTCACCTCGTGGAATACCTCCACGCGTCGCACCTCGGCAAACTGAAAGCTCTCGAAGAGGCGCAACGATATGGCATTGTCCATATCGATCTTGGCTTCGAATTTGATCAGAGGCAGATGCTGTTGGGCGTACTTGAACATAAGTAGCATAGCCTCGCGACCGAATCCTTTGCCGCGCGCCTCGGGTGCTGCGATCATAATTTCCGCTTCCGCCACATATTGCTGAGACTCCTTATCGTGGCGCACAAATAGATTTGTGTCGCCCACCATAGCGGTTATCTCATCGTTGGTCTTTTTATAGATCTCAGCGCAAAGGACAATGAATGTGAGCTTATCATCGTCCTGTCGCCAACTCTGTTGCATTGCATATTCCTCGTCTAAGGTGAGCTCATCCGAGGCGGTCAGGCTACGCAGCGTAGGACTGCTCATCCATTGATGATACTTGGGTACATGACGGGCCTCGTAGGGCACCAGAATTACACGCTGCCCAAGCAGTTTTGTGTGCTCATTTAAGCGCATGGGCTCGAAAATAACACCAACAATAATCCAAATGCAGTAAAGTTCCACAATAGAGATGGGCGCTGCGGCAGTCAAATATCGATAGACAGTCACTAATTTTAGATTAGAGCAATATTTAGTTGATTTTCTTCTCTGATTGCAAATGAAATAAATTATCAAATATTTTATAACTGATGTATAAATACTTCTCCTGATATAGACCTAAATCTTTCTAAAAATGTATGGTTCTATATAAAACAGCTGAGCGTATATTGAATGCGCATATCGATATTCACAGAGGTCGCGGCGTTGCCAGATAACATAAACAGCTGATTCCCGCGAACGACGCGAATTGTTAAGGGAAATAAGTAAATAGCTGGTTTGATTTGGAAAATGATTTAAAAAATGTCGACGCGCTGTCGTACCTGTGGCAAAATTATTTATTGTCTAAACTCAAAGAATTTATTTCAACAGCCCGACAACATCATGCTACACCAAATTGCAGCGTTAACTGGAATTTTTGTCAGTATGCAATTCAACAATAACAAGTGCAAATATTTATAAAGCATCTTATATTATTTATAGCTACCAGAGCATATGGAATTTCCTGAACATATTTGCGGACCCTGCGAAGTAGCGCTGCGCGAAGCCATCGTATTTCGCGAACGCATTATAAAAACACAACAGCTGCTTTTAAATAGCAACAACATTGCGGATGCGTTCCAAAAAATTGACAAGGCTGAAGTGGACAAGCTGGACAAGCTGGAGAGAGATGGTGAAGAGGTGGAGCTATTTAACACATATGAGGACATAACAGAATACGAGTGTGAGGAATACGAAAGCTCGGAAGATGTAGGGGAGGCAAATGAAGATTACTCAGCGAATGATCAATCCGATGAGTCCGTGCAGACCACGAAAACCGATGAGCCAGCGTTAGAACCGCCTGCAAATGTGCCTGCGTCAATGCCAAATACGCCACGCCGACCGGGCAGACCACCTTCCAAACTGTATGCCACGGTCAACTTTGCGACCAACGCTAGGAACACGCCTCGTATAAACTGGAGCAAGCTGTCGGAGGATGAGATAGTGGCACTTAAGCGCGAACGCCGCAAGCGTGACTGCATCTGCGAGCTGTGCGGCCGGCATTTTACCTGCCCCAGCAACTTTAAGGTGCATCTGCTGCGGCACACGGGCGTAAAAAACTTCTCCTGCAAACAGTGCCCCCTGAAGTTCTATACGCCGCACTTGCTGCGGCGCCACGAGCTGGCGCATCTATGTGAGAAGCCATATCCCTGCCAGTACTGCGGCCAAACATTTGCCGATCACAGCGGACGCATTCAGCACGAACGCAAGTATGTGATCAAATATTGTCCAATTTATGCCATAAGTCTCATAATGCAACCATTTCACAGCCGCCATACGAATTATCGGCCTTACAAATGCACCAAATGTGACAAGGCCTTTGTCGTCAGCAACAAGCTCAAGAGGCACATGCTTAGCCATTCCGGCGTGCGTAGTTTTCAGTGAGTATAACATGCATAAGGCGTGAAAACCCATAGAAACCTTTTTGGTTTAAAATCGATTCATGAACCTGGTTTTCTTCATTCACTGGACCCAAATTTTGATTTGAATCTTGCCTTGAAACATTTATTATTTTGGAACTGTGCGCGTTTCTTCCTAAATTGTAAAAAAAATCTATAAATGCCCACAGATTATTTGCTTATTCGTAAAACATTTATATTTAAATGCTTAAATTCTGTTTATCTTTTACAGCTGCGAGATATGCAAAGTATCTTTCATGCGACGCCCACACCTGAATGCCCATTACCGTTCAAAGGGCCACGAGCAGAATGCACAAAATTACGCTGATTTGGCCAACAATGTGGACATCGATATAGAAAATGTGCTACAATAGAATCTGTAATTAGGCTTAGTTAGTTTGTAAGTCGTTTTAGGTGGCAATCACTTTGTTTAAGCTTATTTTAAGAGACATTTGTCAATGGTGTGCAGCTTCTTGCCATTTGAGACCTAAGCATACATTTTAAATGCGGCTAATTAACTCGCTGTAGTTCTTTTAATGATTGTTTGTTCGATTTGAAAATGTCTGATAAAACCAATTAATACAATATCGAATTCGAATCTCTGTATGTCACTCCCAAATAACAAAATTGCCAGGCAGATAGAAACAGCTCCTTTGAGCGGAAACCTAACGTGCAATTTCTTAAGCTAGAAGTTTCGTTATGCACTGCGACTGTCCGTTTTAGAGCTTTAATTTGATCATTTCGTATGCCTCATAGAACATCTAACATATATTAAATTATGACACTGTTTTTCTTTATAAATCTCGTTCGATCTTGCTTTATATATATCTTAATATTAACTGGAATCATGAGCGCATTTCGTGGCCATGGCAAGGGTATCTTAAGGTCTCTTAAAGAAGTATTCGTCGTCCAACTAATGTATAAACTCTAGAATTAGAGATCATAAAGCGTAGCACACATAGTTTCTAAGTCGCTGCTATTTATAGAATATATATCTGTACATATTCGTGTAGTTTTTAAGTAAACAAATCTTAAAAGTTGCTCTGGAAAAAATGGATTCCCTACACATTATGGACATGCCCGACGAGTGCCTGCTGAGGGTGCTCCAGCAATTGGATGTGATGAGTCAGTGTAACTTTGCGTTTACCTGTCAGCGCTTTATGTGCATCTACGAAATGATGCATAGGCAACATTTTCGCTGTTTCACCTGGTTCGAGCCGACCAACAATTGGACCGCTCAGCAGATCGAGGCATTTTTCAGGCTGAATGGCCACAAAATGCGCATGTTGTCCGTATCGGATTTGCATGACAAATATTTTGAGCAGCCGCTGCTTAGCAAGGCCAATCATATGATAAACGTGTGTGTATATCTGAAGAACCTGCGCTCGCTGATATTATGTATTGATCACAAGCTGCCCGATATAATTATTGAGGTTTGTAAGCATTTGCATAAGCTGGAGAATCTGGTTATTGACTGTGCCAGTCATCCGAATTATGAATTTTTGGTTTTGTTAAGGCGTCTCAAAAGTTTGGATATTGATTATTTTGTAAATCCACGTGACAAGCTATTCCAGAGATTTGCCGAATTGCGTCCGGATGCTTTGGAGCATTTACGCATTGGTTCGGAAATAACAATGAAGCAGGGCAAGCACATTGCTTATCTGCGTGGTCTTACGCTCCTGAACATATACAATCCTTGCTATCATTTCGTTAACGGCGTTGTCCTTCAATTGGCCAACTTGCGAGTCCTTAGCATAACATCTGCTCAGCAATTGCGGGACCATGATTTCCGGCATTTGATCATGCATCTTAAATACCTGGCCACGCTATATGTCATTCAATGCACGGATCTTGGTAACGATTTTATATTCTTTATCATCCAGCACTTGAAGGGGCACGAAATGCGTTCTTCCAATTGTCGTCGCTTGCCATTTCATCTGGAGCTATCCGGCACGTGTGTATCAGATGATATTAACGAGGTACTGTGAATATATAAGTTATATATGTACTCTAAATGATTATAGCGCTGTTATTCTATACAGATTGAGCCCGTTAACTCATCACATTCCGTACTTAATGTTGTGTTGGTAGGTAATTAACCTTATTCATATTTATCGTAATTTGAATCCTGAGCGCCTTATCGATAAGCGATGAACTGTCGAAGCTGAACGAGGAAATTTGAGCAGGGTGGCAGCTCTGTTAACCTAGAGTAGCCAAAGTTGCGGCATTTTACATATTCTTGAAAACATTTTATATATTTTGTACGTTTGGTGAATAAGCTGCCATAAATAAAAACAGCAATTATTGATTATTTTGAAGACATTTGAATTCTAAGCACAGAGAACAGCTGTTCATGCATTGTAAGCACACAAATATATAAGTGCAAGTATAGTGAGTCAGGATAAAAACCTATTGTTTCAATCCAAAAAAAAAACTATGATTTGCAATGTATAAAAGAAAACGTAAAGAGAAAAGTATAAAACTGGAATCCGTAAGCTGGTGGTAAAGTCTACATTTGAATTAAAAGCGCTCTATTGAAAAGCGACACAGACGATGAGCAGGGAAATTAAAGCGATATGGCAACGCTGCAAAGCTGCTTTACAGCTGATCTGTTTTTACAAAATGTCTGAGCGTGGCCCTAGTCAAGGCATTTTATACGTATAACTAATATTTTAGATATAGTACATTATGCAAATTGAATCCATTATAAATATAAAAACAGTGGGTCAGGCTAAGCAACTTTTGCCTTGGTGTTTTGTTTAGCACAGAATCCATTGCAAAAGCAGCTGCTAAGGCGTAGCCGGCTAAAAAATTACAACACCAAACAGAAAACGTGTTATGCTGATGCATGCTCTAATTATGTTGTGAAGTGCGTTTGAAACACGAGTAGAGAGGAGCTTCTCGAAAGCCAATCCCTTTCGACGACAAAGCGAGCGATTGGGTTTTCTAGCTTAACCAATGTGGCACTTCCAATGAAAAATCAATTCGAAATCGTTGGATGTTCTCAGTATTGGTTATTGGCCAGAAGAACCCAAACACAGCTATAAGAAACCAAAAATAAAATAAACAACAAAAGACACCTAACAAAATAGCATAAGTTTTAAGCACACACCTAAGTACATACATATAGAAAATGGCTGAAGCTCAATCGTCAGCTGTAGAGCTATCCACGGAGGAGCCACTTACCACACGCAAGCGTCCACGTCTGGATGAGGAGCAGGAGCAGGAACTGAAAGTTGCTGGCTTTTCGCTTAGCGCCATTGAGGAAATGCGTCAGACACGCGACGCCGAGCTGCTATCCGAGCCCATTGATCAGCAGCTGCGCCAGTTTCAGGTGCTTGACGAGGTGGGCACCGCCAGTGAGGATGATGATTCAGGTAAGCGATAAGCTCGCACACAGTAGAGATTTACTATATGGAGTATACACATTCTTGTTGACTAGCCAACGACAGGCACATGGCCTTAGCCATAAAATGCAAAGAAACAGCTTCTACATGTCTTATCTGAAGATCTTACCAGAGCTTATCATTGTGTAAACAATACGCCAAGGAGGCTGATAACTAACTACAGTGAAAATCTCATTTAACGGCCGGGAAAACATTTGGGCGTAGGTCGCCTTAAGCAGGGTCAATTTTGTTGTCTTATCTTCACATATTAAGAGAGCAGCTCGCTTACCACAACAAAGCGAGCAAACAAATCGTAGTTTGTCGGCTCTAGAGAGCTTTCACTGTAGTTTCCAGCCAGATTCATTTAATGGATGATTGTATCTACCGAGCCCATTTGCTTCAATATTTTCAAGCTGCTCGCAGCTGCAGCTCAATGAGAAACTTGTCTGTAATACGTGATCCCTAAGTCGTAATCTCTGAGCTGCGCGCAAACATGCGCATGATACCCATTGTGCGCCTGGAGCTAAACGAAAGGCTAACGTTTCAATCAGGTTTACTTTTAGATTCAAATGAATATACTTATCTAAAACCATTTCCATACACACTTCGCAGATGACAACAGCGACAAGCAGAACGGTGAGAATTATGCTGACGATGAGGAGGGCGAAGGTGATGGCGGCGACTATGATTCTTCCGACTTTGATGATGAAGAAATTGAAAATCTTTTGGATGAAAAGCTACCCGAAGATCTGCGCGAATCCAAGCGACCAAAATACGAACAGCGCTTCAAGACTGTGCTTGAAGGTATGTGTGAATTATGCTGCACAGATTCAGACTATTTTTATTGACCTCTTTCCGCACATTTTAGAGAAGCGCCACAACCACTTCGAGGTGCTGCCGGAGGGCTGGGTGCAGGTGACGCACAATAGCGGCATGCCCCTCTTTTTGCATCGCAAGTCGCGTGTCTGCTGTGCCGCACGTCCATATTTTCTTGGCACGGGCAGTGCACGCAAACATGCGGTGCCACTGGGTGCCATACCCTGTCTGAACTATCGACGTGCCCTGGACGAGGAAACGGAAGTTGCGGAGCAACAGCTGCGCAATGCGGACGATGCGCCGACTACAGACAACAATAATGAGGTGATGACTGCGGGCGTTTGTCCTGTAACTCATGCGACAGCAAATGCAGCACAGCCCATGGATGTGGATCGCAAAGAGAACCAAAATTCGGCTGATGCAGAGTCCAAAACGGGCGAGCCAAGCACTGAGGCATTGCAGTCACTAATACCAGCAGCTAAAATCGTAACCGTCAATGAGAATACACAAAAGGAGTCGGTGACACCGGAGCAGCTGAACACGTACTGCCAGAAGCTCTTCCGGTTCAAAGTAATACGCGTGCTGCGCTTTCGTAGTTGGAATGCACGGCGCAAGTTCACAAAAAATCGGAAGCATATCAAGAATATACAGCGACCAACGCTGCCCGACGGCACCAAGCTGATCAAGTTTCCCATTTTGGCGGCCAGCGGTGCAGAAGGTGCCACAAATCCGCGTGGACGAAAAGAGTGGATCATGAATCCGAATGGCAAGAGTTTTGTGTGCATCTTGCATGAGTATGTGCAGCATGCGCTAAAGACGCAGCCCACCTATGAATTCAAGGAGCTGCAGAACGCAGCAACGCCCTATTCGGCAACCGTTTCGGTGAACAATCTCAAGTACGGCACGGGTTATGGCACCAGCAAAAAGCAGGCCAAATCGGAGGCAGCACGCGAAACACTCGAGATACTCATTCCCGATGTAAAGGACAAAATAACGGGCAATAATAAGGATGTGAAAAGCGGCACTGCGAAGAAAACCCAAAGCGATCTATCTGTAAGTGGGCCTGGCATCTATATCAAAGAACATATAATTGAATATTGCCTTATAGGTTTTCGATGACATACGCATTGAGGATCCACGCGTCACCGAGTTCTGCAACAAGACCACAGAGCCCTCACCCAATGCCATCTTGTTAACCTGCCTCCAGCGCAACTACGGCAGCGATGTGCAGATCACCCAGGAGATCAATCGTACGGCCAATAACAAAAACGAGTTCACGATGACTGTGGGCAAGCACACGGCCAAGGTGGTCTGCAAGAACAAGCGCGAGGGCAAGCAATTGGCATCGCAGGCCATACTGCAGGTAAAAGCTAGCAGAGTGTCTTAGAAATATGTCCCGCAATGTCTAAGAAGATCTGATCTGCTTGATCTGTATCTGTAGCCAAAGTCGATATAGGCTTGCCTGTCTGTCTGTTTCTACGCAAGCTAGTCTCACAGTCTTCAACATGTTCTAGACACTTTATTAATAAGCTGCTATAGCAAAGTTTCTTAAAATTGTATCCCTATTTTATGGGCAAGCATTTTATTCATTAATAATTCCATAACAATTGGTCGGAAAGAAAGCTTTACTAGGCCATTTAATCTCCGGTTTGCTGGGGATAAATATTCCTTCTTGTCTTTGATATTCTGCTAAATATCTTCAATCATTGTTAAATGTGGACACCAAGAAAAGATTGATTGTTCTGTATAATGTCTTTTAACTATTTTCCACACTCTTCTGTAGATTTTGCATCCGCACATTCAAACTTGGGGCTCGCTGCTGCGTCTGTATGGCAACAATTCGATCAAAACGTTTAAAGAGAAGAAACTCGAGGAGCAGGAGATAACCGTGTTGCAGAGCAAGGCGGCTGTGAATCAACCAAACTATGCCATTCTTGAAAAACTCAAATCGGAGATGCTGAAGCTCAGCGCCAAGCACGAGGGTGTCCAAACAATGGGCACGTTTGTGCCGCCCAGTGATGTTGACTTGCCCACTTCCTCCGGTTCCAATTTGAACAACGTTGAATTATAGTTATAAAGCACATAATCATCATTGCCGTCATTAGGTTTTTGGTTATTCCACTTGCATGACAAACTTTTACACAGTTACCCAATGTGATCCATTCAAATATGACAAACAGCAATGTGAAGAATGTATATTAAGCTTAACCACGAGCTACGCATACTCTTCAAATTACACTTACTTAATAAAGATCCTTACGAATTCAACATAATATTCTATGCCAAAATGGAATTAATAATAAATATGTGCGTTCCTTATGCATTATTCTTCCAGCATATGCTTGACTTTATTAAAGTATAATTCGTCTAGACTATTATGCAATTAATTTCAATTCTCTTTGGTACTTGATGATTGCGTGGAATGAACACGGAAACGGAATTGGGAACAGTTTTTATCAACTGCAGAGTTGCCATTTTCATTAAAAACTGTTGTTTAATTGGTTTTTATATAGAAGTCGCATAAAACACTTGAAGAATTGAAATCAGACATAAAGCTAAACGGAAGAGAACTCATAAAACAAATTATAAATGCAAACATAACTCTTATTAAGCTTTGAAAAATACGCGGAAACGGAATTTGGAACAGTTCTTATCAACTAAAGAGTTGTCAATTTCATTGAAAAAGGTTTATTATTAATAGGCTTTTATTTAAAAAAAAAAAACATAAAACACTTGTAGAATCGAAAACAGACGTAAAAATAAATGGAACTTATAAAACAAATGTTCTAAATCGAACTTTCAGGGTTGTCAGCCAGTTATACAAGCATGTAAGAAAAATGCAAATAGAACCGTTAAGCTTTGAAAAATACCATAAAATTATATTAAAAATTATAAGAGTTATATATTAGAAAAGATGAAATATGTTAACGGCATTATAAAGATGAGACTACGCTGTGCAGGTGAGTTGCCAAACAAATTCAAACACATTTTAAAAATAACAATTTCACCTTAACTTGTAAGCGTGTGCCAGTTTATATGTGTGTGTATTAATGTGTGCGTGCAATTATTTAAAAGACAATGCAGTCATAAATTATGCTACATTTTCATTTCATTCTAACGTTTCGTTTTTTATCGCATTCCTTGGACACACACACACACTCACACGCACATGCACGCATACAAACCGCGGCGAGTATAGGCACGCGCAAGCCGAATTCGCCGCGCTGGGCAGCACTGTTCACTGCGCAACGAAAGAGCGCGCAGCATCAGGCACAAACGAAAGAATTTTACCGTTGCTCCTTTTGCCAACCATCGCCAGTTTCTTCAGTATTTGTTCGTTGCGCGTCGAGTGCTAAACTAGGCAGCTGACCGTGCCAGTGTGCAGTGCCGCCGCCAATTCCCGTATTAATTAAATCACATTTAATTGAAAACAACTCACACACACATACACTGCGCATCGCATCAGGTGGAGAAAGACAACAATTGCGTCTATGTACGCACGCCTCCATCTACGCCGCCCTTTTGCGTGAGTGTGTCTCAAGTGTTGCCAGATTTTATGGCAAGCGGCATAATAGCCAAAATTATACGCGTTCGCTACGAATTTGCCAAACAAAAAGTGGGTCTTCCTTGGCCAGCATAAAAAAAAATAATTAAATAAACGGGTATACATTTCGTTGCGGCTGCCGCTGCCCCCCCTTCTATGCCTATTGTGTTGCTCCATGTATCAGAACGTTCAAACACACACAC